AAATATGAACAGTTAGTCAAAGATATTTGAGTAAAAATTCTGGCATGAAAAATAGAGATGAAAAATGGTAATAAGATTAACTTAGAGATAATAGATATTATATAAGCAGTAGCAACAATGACAAAACTTATTATGCTTGTAGAGATTAGATGTCCTTGGAACAAGAAGAAGGTGCTATAAAAATATATATGTAAGTAATATAAAATATGTTATATATTTTAATATAAAATATATAATTTTATTATATATAAAGTAATATGATAAACCTTTAGAGAAAAAAAGAGCCCTTGGAAGAGCAGACATTTAAACATACTAGGAGAGTTGGAAAAGAATGTTGAAGAGTCTCCCAAGAAGTAGAGCAGAATGACAAAAAGAAAAAAGAAAGAGAAAATAAAAGAAAATGAGAGGACTAGTTGAGTAATTCAATATCTGCATAGTAGAACTAAAGGAAGAAATCAGCTATATACTTCAAGAAAATTTCCCCAAGCTGAAAGATGTGTTTCCAGATTGAGTATATTCCCCAAGCTCAGCACAGTGGATAAAAATAGACCCACAGCAAGGCACACCATTGTGAAATGTCAGAACACTGTGCTCCAGACAGGAAACATGCACATGCGTGCATACACATACACCCCCCCACACATAGAGCCTATATTCAAGGATTAAGACTCATAATGGCTCCATGCTTTTCAACAACTACACTGAAAACTAGAAGACAGTGGAGTGATGCCTTATCTCCAACCTAGAATTCTGTTAGCTGAACAAACAAAAATACCGTTCCCAGTGTAAGAACTGAATAAACAGAATTGCAGGCATGTACAGTCTTTAAAAGGTTATCACCTGCAACCCTTTCTCAGGAAGCCACTGGAGAATGTACTTCAGAAAAATGAAAGACACCTACAAGAAATAGGAAAAAGACAGAGGGAATCCCCAAGTTGGTGATGAAAGATGACTGATGTTGTGCACTGGTGCACAGGCAAAGTCCAGACTGGAGCGAGTCAGAAGGTTCTGGGCAGACCTTTCCAACAAGTGAAAGTAATTGAATGCATTGAATACATGTGGTCAACTGGCAGAGAGTTTGGATTGAATAAAATGCTGGTGGCAAATAAAAAATTAAATTGCTAGGGTTGAACAACAAATGCCACAGATGAGTGGCTTTAACAACAGAAATTCATTTCCTCTAGCTCTGGAGGCTTGAAGTCCAAGATCAAGGTGGTGACAAGGATGTTTCATTCTGAGGTTTCTCTCCTTGGCTCATAGATGGCCATCTTCATACAGTATCTTCACATGATCTTCCCTCTTTACATGTGTATGTTTGGTGTCTCTGTATTTCAATCTCCTCTTCTTATAAAGACTCTCCATATTGGATTAGGACTCACCTAATGACTCCATCTTAACTTCATTTCCTCTTTAAAGGCCCCATCTCCAAATACAGTCCCATTTTGAGGTATTGGGGATGAAAGATTCAACATATGAATTTTGTTTGGGTTCACAATTCAGCCCATAACAAAATGCTAATGAAAAAAATCAAACAAATATAAAACCCAGGGTAGTGAGGAAAACATAATTATGGAAAAATAAATACAGCTTAATACATGATCTAACTCTGAAGAACATAAATTATTGTAACAATGCAACTAGTGAATACTGATTTAACCAAAATTACAATACAACCACATCAGGGGACAGAGAATGGAAAGTATGCATGTGTATGGAAAGTACGGAAGTGGGGTCAGGAACAAGAAAGAATGAAATCTTATCTCAGTGGGAACTTAGTAGCTTTTGCCCGCATTAGAAAAATCAAGAGGTGGAAGCAATATCAACATGTGACTGAGATATTCTGACAGAAGATTACTTAAGAGAATTTAAAGTTGCATCTGTGGGCTAGCAAGTGAGGACAGAGTGTGGGGAAATGTCGCTAACTTAAAAACTAGCAAAATCTTTAAAACTATTGTAATACCTATATAGCTGTTTTAAAAACAAAACAATGTTTTTTTAAAAAAGAGTGGGTCCTTAATATTCTTTCTGTGCCTACTGTGTGACACTTTCTTTGATCAGTACATCACACATGCCATCTCATTTCTTTACCACAACAACCCTTAACATAGCTATAAAGAATAAATACTCTACGTATTACGTAAGAGGAAACAGAGCTCTGGAGAGATTTTGTGATTTGCTAAATATCACCAGCTGATTAGTGGCAGGGCCATAATTATATCTAGCTCTCAGTTCAACATAAATGTATTAATATCTACTGTGTTCCAGACTCTGCAAGGAATCATTTATGCAGATATTGGTGCTATTTTTATGATCTTCATCTTTCTAAACACTATCTAATGAAATGTGGGACATACTTGTCATTATTTTTTAGCTGCCCAGCATCTACGCCTCCTTCCCACAATTCAAGGAATTCATCATCTACTAAGTATTGGTGGGAATCAGAACCTACTCCCCATTAGGCAAGATACTTGCTTTTCCCGACTTCCTGATAGGGAGGATGTGGACCCATGACTAGGCTAAACCAATTCTGATGCATCCCCTCTGAACTTTGAATCAAGAACTAGTGATGCAAAGGAGGAGACAGTTCAGAGTTGATTTTGATGGTGACAGAGGTGGGGCCAGCAGCATTTGGCCCTGCAGTGGAATGTGGCAGTGGAGATGGAGTGGGTCCAGCAGCTGGTGTGGGCCACAGGGAAAGCAGCAACCAGGCTGGGGCTTCTATTGACTGGGAAGTCAACAGTGTTTGCAGAAACCATTTTTATGACATGGATTTGAACCTGGCTTACTCTGATCCTGAGAATTTGCTACACTTGATTCTTAAGCTACCTATTATCTACCCACATCTTTTCAATATATTCTTTTCCTGCTTAACTCAGCCAAAGCATGCTTCTGTTAAGTGAACTTCTGTTACCTTAACTAGCACCTATGCAAAGAGAAGTTCAACTTGGCAGACCTAACTATGATGTCAAACAGAAACTGACATTTGGAATGAATAAACAGTTATAGTGCTAACAAAATATTATCAATTTACCTTTCTCAAAGTTATAATTTATGATCAATTATGTGTCATTTGTGATTCATTTATAAAATGGAAATATATTTATGACAAAATGCTAAGACTTTTATTTACTCATTCTTCCTCCATTCAACAACTGTTTTTTGAGTAGCTACTATGTGCCTGGCACTGTGCTAAGTTCAAGGGGTAGAGCCGTGAACAAAACAGACAAAAAAGAAGAGAAACAGTACCTCCAATAAGTAAATTATATATCATGGTCTCAGTTGATAATAAGTGCTCAGGGAAAATATAAAGCATGGAGATTGGGAGTGCCAGGAGGGGAGGTGGTATTATATTTTAAATGGGTTGGTCAGTGTGGGGCTCATAGAGGAGGGGACATTTGACAATTTCTAGATCTATTTTTGGTTGTCACTTCCGGGGAGGAATCTCCTGCGATGTAGTGGGTAGAGGCCAGGGATGCTGCTAAACATCCAGAAGAGGCCAGCACAGCTCCTGCAACCAAGAATTATCTAGTCAAAAAGTCAATAGCACCAAGATTGGAAAACCTAGGAGCAAAGACCCATAGACCAGTGGTTAAATGGTATGGTGAAATTCTGAAAAAATTCCATAATTATGTGTTATTTAAAAGGATAAATTATTGCATGTTTGAATATTGAAATCACAGTATTTCCTAAATTTACATAAAACTCTAAGTATTAGTTGGGGAGAATTTGAATGAGATACATTGAATAATATAGGAGAAAAAAATTTTCAATATACTTCCAGGATCCTTAAGTCCATTTTTATGGTGTTCCTGTCTAATAAATGAAAATAATTCATTTCTATCTTAGTTTAAAATAGTAGAAATCTTAAAAATAAAACCTACAGTTTAAAAATATTCAGGAATACTTTATCCAATACAAAAGTATTTCTGTTCTCATGTTGTCCTCCTGTTCCATGAAGTTTTGTAAATGTCCTTTTCCAAAAATAGGTCACACTTTTTGGTTAAATAATTTTAAGTCATAACTAGATACATAGTGTACATATCTATGAATTTCACAACCATGCAGTGAAACCTTATTTAGTCCTTTTCCAAAAATAGGTCACACTTTTTGGTTAAATAATTTTAAGTCATAACTAGATACATAGTGTACATATCTATGAATTTCACAACCATGCAGTGAAACCTTATTTAGGTTATTTATGTTGATTTACTTTCTTAAGGAGGTTTTAAATATTTGGCAAAATATAAGTCTTTCAACAAAGTTGACATAAGGGATAGAATTAATGTTGCCCTGAGGTAACAGAAACACGTTAGAGCCCAAATTATATGGAATGCATGTTAGTTCACTTTATTCTTTAATAGCTCTTATGCTTTCCCATGGAGTTTGTGCCACTGTAAATCATATTTTGGAACTAGATATGGTATGTATAAATGAATAATGAATATGTATATACATAGACCCAAACCCAATTGGAGGAACCAAGATGCCATGATACAAAGGATGTTGTAAAGCTACCTGAAAAAAGTACTGTCAAATAATTTTTTATTTAAAAAGTGGCACATTAGAAATAATTATTTCAGTTTCCAAATGTAGTTTGCTAATTGCATACATCACTGTTGCTTCCTTAAATACATAAAGTTGTACTATTTACTAAACTTTCAGTATTTGCTGAAGTTCTTGGAAATAGGAAAAAATAACATTTTAATGGCATAGCAAGCTCAAGACTTTTCTTAAAGCAATTGTGCTTATTTTAATATGACCATATTCTAGTCAGTGTGGAAAATGTTGTAAGTAAGTATTTCAATTGTTTTTTAGATGATGTACTTTATAAATAATGACTTGGCAGAAGAGGTATTTTTATTAGGTTTAGTTTGTAAATTTGGTTCTTCCTACATGGCAGAAACTCTGATTCCATTTTGGATAGTTGCTTGTTGAGGTGTTATACAGGTTTTCATTAAATGCTTACACTAATTGAAGACAAATGAGATAAACCAAAGTACTGCTCATTGTTCCAGAAATAGAAGGATACTGGTATGATGGTACCAATATTATGAGCTCATTATTAAATCTGTATAAAAGAAAGATTTTGAGGTAATGAGCCAAAACACAGATCAAGTGCCATTTGAAATTATAAAAACTAAATCACTTAGATCACTGTCTGAGCAGACTCAACTTCTCATGAAACGTTGGGAAGAGTGACCGTGTGGACCAGAATTCCCTCGGTCAGGGTCCCCAGAAGGTGAGATGAGGAGACTCTTTAGGAAGCCTCAACTAATATACTCCTAAGAGCAGCTGCCTCCCGTGAATCACAGTGTGGAGTTAGAAAAAGGGGACCCTGAAAGGGAAGTAAGGCAGAACTATTGAATGTCTATGCAGTACAAGAACAAAACAAGCCCTCAGAAGGGATAATGAAGGAACCAGGGTTACCTGTGCAAACCTAGAAGAGCTAAGGCATTGGAGGCCCTTAGAAACAACTGAACCTATTTATTTTGCTAATAACAGGAGAAGTGCACACCCTTCTAGCATGTGAGGCTCCAAACACCAAACTAAAGGCTCAGCTGCCCAAGACTACTACTTTCGCTCATTCCATTCCAGGCAGTGCTCAAATGCACTGTCCTCCCCAGAAGCATAGGCATTCCCTCTGCCCTTCTTAATCTTATCGTTAGAGCAGGTACCATCACCTTTATTGTTATATCCATCTGTAGCCTAATGCAAGTACAGAATAAGCCACATCAGGTACAATACTTTTGGCTCCGTGTAACTTCTAAGCTCAACTCAAACTGGCCCGTAAAGGAGAACATCTATTATCTCACATGCCAAAGATGATCCACAGGTGGTGAGTGCATCAGTCTTAGCATCTCAGTGAGTCTCAGGGGGTCTACCTTTCTCTACATGTTGGATACATCCTCACACTGGTAGGATGGCTCCTAGCTTCATACTGAGACAGAAAACATCCAGAAGAAATGAGAGACCTTTCTTCTCTTGCTGTCTTTTAGGAGTAAGGAAGCCTCTCAGCAGGTGTCTCTATGTCTTCTTTACCACAAATGGGTTATGTGCCCATTCGTTGGCTGGCCACTCACAAGGAGGGTGGTGTTAATTTTGATTGGCTTAGTTCAGGATCCACCCTTTGGGACTGGCAACAGGGCCACAGACCTAAATAAAAGGGAGAAGTATGTACCCAAATCCCAGCCCAGATTCTGCTGGAGAGGTAAATGGAGAGAATGGATATCGAACAGCCATTCAGAAATGTCCAGTATGTATACTTCAACAAAATTGTTGACTGAATAAATGAATAACCCAAAAAAGTCATGTTCATTTTATTTTATGACTTTGTGCCTTAGTTTTTCCTAAGTAGAGAGGAGGGTAGCCAAAGATGTTCACAGTGTAAGAACAATGCTGGTCATAAATTTAGATCATTGTTAACAAAATGTTACAATTCTAAATACTTATGTTCCTATGTTAATGTTGACATTTTTCACCATAATTCTCCATAGCATTTCTATACTGGCATAACTTCTTAGTGGTCAACCAAGTTCAATCTAGATTTTTTTAAAAACCTAATAATAAAAATTTTACATATGAATTTTAATGAACCAAAATAACTAATATGCCTTTTAGAGTTTTGGATTCTGAATAAGACTTTAATTTTTCATAGAATGTGAATACTCAAGCAGTTTAGCAGTCAGTCAATCAATCATTGATCAATAGGAAAACTCACATTAGCTTATTCACTTATCCCATGACCACTAAAAACTTATGTTGGGCATTATATCCTTTCAGCATTATGTGGACTAATAAGTCTGTTTTTTAATGAACAAAGTTAAGTGATGGTGATTTGGGGAATAATACAGTTTGTTGAACATAAATAACCAATCACAAGAAAATTCAGCTGTTTGTTGCATTCCTTTCCCACCAGCCCTGCTTCAAAAACAGAAGAAAGTCATATAGCTGAATAGTTTGGAGATGGGACAGTGTCCACTACCAGAAAGCCAAAAAACGTTACAAAATGCTCACTAGACCTCTCCCTGTAGACACATTGCTGAAGTTTGTACATGCTCTTTCCTCCAAAACTGAACACCACTAAACACCAAAAGCAGCACACATGAGAAACGAACATTAGTCACTTTTGCCTTGCTTGATGATTTCCATCTTGTTCTAATCAGAGGTTGCACACTGTGACCCAAGATAATTTTTGGCAGAGTTTAAAAGAGTTTTGAATTTATATGCCCTTAGGTGGTACATGCTCTTTCCATTCAGTTGTTAGCTGCCTGGGTCTTGAAGGTATTTGTGTTTTTTCTCCCAGAAATTATTTCAAGCTTATGAAACTTATACTTACACTTAAAACTAGAAGCACTTTCATTTTCCATTTTCTACTTAGTTGGTTAAAAAAAAAAAAAGACTGAAAATGATGCAGTGCAGCACTGAACTACTTTGATAAACCTGGCTGCTTAGAGACTCAATGCTGTGAATCTAGACAGCTGCTTGACAAGCAGACTACGGCTGAAAGCTCAAATTATTTTTTTTAATCAGCTGGCATTTGAAAGTCTAAATTCAAAATGTCAAGATTGGATCATCAATTTATACTGAACAAAATACAAGCTGTTGGAAAATAAAATTCTTGAAAGTTGAGAAGAAGTAACTGACTAGCTAACTGTAATGACTGACGTGTGAATTTCAGTTCAGCACTGTGCTTTGACGTGGAGAGAACTTGGAGACCCAGTCAGTCCCCTCTCTGGGGGAGGCAGCGAGAGGACTCCCCCTCTTAGACCCGAGCCTCTAAGAGAAATTTCAAGGACCACACTCGGTGACCTTGAAGAGTTTCCCTGCTGTTGGACTTAAGAGCTTGGCACTTCCTGAGGCAGCTAGAGCGGCTTGGGTAGCAATTGGGAGGTAACCAACCCCCTTAGCCTCTGACCACAGGACAAAGGTGTGTGAGTTCTGGGAACTGCATTGTGGGATCATTATAGAAATGTTGAACTTGGACTTTACAAGGAATCTTGTTCAAGAGGGCAGTTTGCCACAGCCAGGAGACCCTCAGTTGTTAAGAACCATAAAAGAGAAAATAAGGTGAAGGGAAATCAGGAGTGGCTATTGAATAGGAATTAGAATTGAAGAAACCTAGCAGGGGAGCTTCTGAATAACTCAATAAGAGAAAAAGTCAACTTTATACATCTATGAATACCAGAAGGTGCAAGTCAGATAACTTTGTTTTTCCCTTGCCTTTCCTCTACCTCCACACCTCCCCATTCCTTACCAACCCTGGTGAAGGCTGGGGGTAGAATGAAAGGGAAGAAAAACAACCAGCTGTGCCTCCTAGCTATTAAAGAAGCCAGGTGGCCATCTGCAGCCAGCCCTACCTGGGTAAGGGCGGGGAGGTAGGAGGATGTCTCACTTATCATGAGCACTGAAAATTGATTGA